AGGCGTGGAGAAATCAACCAAGTGAGGGTCTCAAGATAAGAGAGAGAGAACTGATATCCATCTCCAAATATTCAATGCTGGTATGTGTAAAGGGAAGCTGAAGCTTGTGGTTGGTGTAAACACTATTAGCTGGCTCATTATGTGGGCTACAGGTCAGAGGGAGTCTGGAAACTTTGCTTGTTCAGGAAAGCTGAAAGGATTGCTCCCCATTAGCAGCTGTTGCCCTGCCACTGAGGATGGAAGATGGACGAGAATGGGATTTATGAAATGAATGAATGCCCAACAGGATCTTCTACAAAGAAGGACACTATTTCTGTTTTTACCATTACCAGTGCATGTTCCATTTCCAGTTCACATCAATGCCACATTTGCTTTCACATCTGACAGAAGACAGCTGTGTACTCCAGACTGAAGAGCGACAAAGAGCTCTATGAAGCTGTTTGGAACCAAGTGTTGAAACAAGATGCGGTTTGCAGATCATAGTGAATCTGCACTTGTTGAGATGTCAGTTGACCTTCAATCTGATATATCCTTCTTCTATCAGCTATGGCCACATACATATCAAACTGAGGATCCATGGTGAAAAAGTTTCTATCAAGTAGTTGCTCAGGAAGATGCACAAGTGTTCCTTTTCCCTCATGATGGAACAGTCAGGAGAACAAGTTTTCAAAGAATCAGATTTCATAACCGCATTACTTCACTCTGATGAAGTTGTAGGAAACATAGCATTCAAAGCAGCTGTGCACTTCTGGAACAATACAGACAAAGATATTGTTGATGTGTCCTAGCAGGAATTTTAGATAGCTTCAAAGCTGCAGAGATCTCTCAAATGAATTAGAATCGAGATGTATGTCAACCTTTGAATTTTTTTCAACTGTTTTCTCCACAATATTTGTGATGCATATTGGACACAGAAGACAGGGATAAGCTGGCACAATATATGCCTTGAACTTCTTGAGATTCTGATATCCATCACCTGATCAAAGTTAGTCAGCATGTGTTCCAACCGTCCCTCATGGTGTGCTGAAACAGCAGGACAACTTGTACACCCACATGGAAAGTGTGCAGCGAAATGTTTTGGATGAAGATGAACGTTTCCAACAGGAACAGTGCAAAATGGTTTCACGGAACCACATCTACTATAGAAATACTCTGTAAGCTAGGAATGGTGAGGGATGATCTCCAGGTGAGTCTCTGCTTGAGAGAGAGCTCAGTCAGTGGCCAGTCTTCACCAGAGAAAACCACAGGGAAGCAGTGAAAAGATGCTGGAAGATAAAGTTTGGCTACATTTCAGAGAGACTTCACTACTCCAGTATACAGCTGGTGAAGAAACAGCGTGCTGAAGTAATACTAAATTGAAGAAGTCATACAGCGGCTCAAAGAAATTCCTTCTTGCCTATCATGCAGCGTCATGCAACATGGCCACTATCATGGAAAGCAGATGAAATTCCATGCCAGGTCTTTGCTAAAACCAGTGAAATGTTTAGCAGCAAGGTTTTACTGAACTTGGTGGAGCTGCTCAAAACTTGTCATTGATTCCAGTTACCCTGGTTACTTGAGAAATGAAGAAGATGTGTTAACACTGATCGGGCTGCATCGCGAAAGATGAAATTGATATTGATACAGCAGCAAGACAACTTTTGTATGTTGCAAAGAAGATCAACTGTACAACAACCCCATCATTACTCAAGCAATTAGAGTGACATGTGTTTGGAAATATATTCTTACTTGAAACATTGTTGTGAAGAAACAGAAGAAAGTGGCGATAGTATTCAACACAGAACCACTACACTTGAGATGCTTGGAAAGGAGTGTGTCATATTAGTTGGTGAACGAATGGTGCGACCTCAACAGGTAGCTTTTCGGTTATCCCAGGATCTGTCTCCTTATCTGTATCAAGTTACCACAAGCCATACTAAGATATTTAGACAGCTATTTGAAGTTTTAGGAGTGAAAGATAGCTTTGATATGCAAGACATTTTAGCTGTTGTTCAATCTATCTCTGCTGATACTGCCCAAGGGAAGCTGACAAATGAAAATTTGTCATGTATTGAGAGACTGATGAATACTTTGATTGACATCTTACCAGATCTGTATGGCAAGAGTGAAATACTGGAGATAATGCTTCCTGACAGACATGGTTTTCTGCATGAGGCATCATCACTTTGTTTGGATGACTGTGATTGGGTTGATGAAGATGATACCATGGTGTTTCTTCACCCTATAATCCATCCAGTGGCAGCTAGATGGTTAGGAGTAAAGGGGAAAAGAGAGGCCGACCTTTGTGACCATATTTCATCAATTGAATCTTTTGGACAAAGTGAAAAACTCACTTCCAGAATAAGGAGAATCCTATCTGGCTATCCCTGTGATGTTTCAATAATGAAGGAGTTGCTACAGAATGCTGATGATGCTGGAGCCACAGTACTGATGTTTATCAAAAGAGACTTTAGGTCTCTCCAACAACTCAAGTATTTGGTGAAAACTGGTCCTCTCTCTACAGGGTCCTGCTCTGTGTGTCTGTACAATGACAGCTTCTTTACTGATACAGATTTTTCTGGCATTAAGAATCTAGGTCAAGGTAGTAAAGGGATGACCCATTTGGAAAAGCCTGGACAGTATGGGAGTTGGTTTCAACGCGGATAGTTTACCACCTGACTGGCGTACCTTCCTTCATGACGGTTGGTCCAACTACAAACAAAACTATCTGTGTTCTGGATCCGCATGTCAAGTATGTTCCATGGGCCACATGCAAGAATCCAGGTGTAAAAATACAAGATCTTGATAAATTAAGAGTGAAGTATAAAGATGCATTTAAGGGTTACCTTGAAGGATGTGTCCCACTGCAACAAAAAGGGACACTCTTTCGATTTCCTCTGAGAACAGTGGCTATGGCTGAGGATTCCAAAATTTCAAACAAGGAAATAACAACAGACATGATAACAGATCTTCTTAAGGAGTTCAAGAAAGATATGTTTGATTCTCTTCTATTTCTTCACAATGTGAAAAAGATAGTAATTGCAAGTATATCAGCAGGTGGAGAATTGTCAAAAGAATATTCACTTGAATCGAAAATGACAGAAGGAGATGCTAAAGAACAAAAGAAGTTTTTGGAAGTCTTAAGAAGCCAAGCTGTGGCAAGAACAAGCCTTCCTGCATTAACACCCTTGGAACTGAAGCTGTCGCTAGAGGTACAAGATTCTATAGGCAATAAGCAGCAGTGGTTAGTTGTTCATAGAAGTGGATTTACCAGTGACAAAGATATTCCTGCCTCTGTCTCTTCAGCCTGGGAGAGAGGCGACATTGGTCTACTTCCAAGAGGGGGCATTGCAGTACCAATACCAACCAAGTCAGCCCATTCTGGATCAGATATTAAAGGGAAAGCATTTTGTATCCTACCTCTACCAGTGTTGACTGGCCTACCTGTACATGTAAATGGCCACTTTGCTCTGGACCATGAAGCAAGAAGAAACTTGTGGCATGGGTCACAAGATCACAGGACTGACTGGAACAAACACGTAGTGGAGGCTATAGTCATTCCAGCATATCTATCAGCAATGGAAACAATGAAAACCAAGATGTCCTGCACACAAGAATTTCAAGTAAAGGTACTTCAACAGAATCTTAAAGGTTATTATCTGTTTTTGCCAGATATTTCAAAAAAGCAACAGATAGTTTCTGGAAGTCCATGGCCATGAGTATCTACACAGACATAGTACAAAAGAAGAGCAATTTATTTGGTGTCATTAAACCAGTACATGGGAAATTCTCTCTGATGAACCTGAAGGCAGAACATGTGACATTATAGCCAGTGTGAATTGGGTATCAGTGACCAGTGATGTTGGGTTTTGCAGGTTATTTTAATGACTTGGGGTCTCACTACCAGATTGGCGGGTCACATTTCTTTTAGACAGTTCCATTCTCCAGCATCATCCCAGAAGAAGTATGATGCCGCACTAAGCAACAGCGCAAGGAGAAACACACAACAACTGAGTGAAGTTTTGCGGATCTCAACATGAAGGTCATTGATGCTCCATTTCAAATCTATGGTCAATTTCAAGAGGCGGAACCTGTCAGACAAAGTTAGCTGTGTAACACCTGAAAAACTCTCCAGTTTTGAAATCATATGCTGATGAAAAGACATGATAAATGCACACTAGGGACATTGCCAAGACTGGTTGATGAAACGCCATACAAATCAGTTGCAACCTTGAAACTTTTAACTGGGTTCATTGTAAGAGCAGATTCGTTTGCTTCAGAAATCTGTGGCCTTCCATTAGCAATGACCATCTCCAGAAAGGTGGCAGTGTTCAGCAGTAGTGAACCACTGATTGTGACAAGTTTTACTGACTTACTAACATCTATACCAGATGTTGCACTTCATGCTGAAATAGCTGACCTCTATATGGAACATATCACACAATCATCTTCTCTGATGGTTATGCAGATTGGAACGTTTGCATCAATGCTTCCACGCATCCTGGTTCACCAAAAATTTGCATGCAAATCTTTGATACCATGGCAACAGAATACTGATTTTCCCTCACATCAATGGATCGCTAGTTTATGGCAGTATCTTAACACAGAGATCAATAAGATTTCCGAAAAAAACAAAACTGAAGGATGGTTAAGAAATCAGTTGGAACCATTGTCAACATGGTGTTTATTGCCTGCAAGGAGAGATACCTTGAACTTCTTTCTCTGTTCCATCAAAGATTCTTCTAAAATTATTGACCTGGACAGTGTCACAGAAAAGACATGTGCTAGAGCTCTGGAAAAAGTGAAAATTCTTCATTTTGGTCAAACTATGTTCAATTGTGATAAGTTCAAAAATGTCAGAACTGTTGAACTTGTTCCAAACTTGGTGGCAAACTGGAAAAACCCTGATGCAGTTCTCTTTGCTCTCTCAGCAGTAGACTTTTCAGAATGTGAATCACTGTCTGAAATAGAAACAGAGCCATTCTTGTACTATTTTTGTAAGAATTTAGACAGTTTGAAGCAATCACAAGTTTTCCCCAACTTAAAGGCAGGGTTAAAGAGTTTGCCATTTTACCCTACAGTGATAGGTCGACTGGTGCCCTTAGCGGGGGATGTGCATGCAGTGAAATCCTCATACGAGCTGCCAAAGGCTGGCCTGGACCACTGGAGTGCAGTGACAGGGAGAACTCTCCTCAAGTACAATGAACTATTAAAGACACTGATCAAGTACCTTGGGGTACCAACACTGACACTGACAGAAGTGTACTCCAGTTTACTGATACCATCCTTCCATCATTTCCCAGGGAGCGCAAAACCTGACCATCTTAAATTCATTAAAGAATCGCTTCTGCAAAAATCTGAGAACTACAGCGATGAGCAATGGCAGTTGATAGAGAAGTTGAGAATGTTGCCATTCATTGAAACAAGTGATGGAAAGCCTCACAGAGCGGAAACATTTTACAGTAGGAACCAGGTTGTATTTGCCACAATGTGTCCTGATTCTGCCTTTCCTCCTGCCCCATACAATGAAGATGAATGGTACAATTTTCTTGTCCTCATTGGTCTTCAAGCAGTTGTCACTGTTGAACAATTTGTAAACTTTGCAAAAGAAGTGGAGAGATTAGGGTTGGGAGGAATTTCCAAAGATGTTGCAAAGAAGTCTGCAATTCTTATTGAGCATCTTTGTAGGAGACCTAAAAAGATACAGGAAGGTATCCTGGGTAGGGTAAAGGACATTAAGTTTCTTCTGCCGTATGTAGTGGATAAAGAGCATGAAACTGGTACTGTGTTGACCCAAATCCACCCCCAGTTTCAAGCTGCCAAGACTCTGGTTTGCTTTTCTGAATCACTTGGACCACAACACTGCTATTGTGTTTGGACCAGTTGCACAATGTTCCGCACAAAAGACGATCCATCTGAATCAGAATATGGAGACAAGAAGAAGATTGTTCATTCACAGCTTTGGATACCAGATTCTCCTCCAGCAAATATAGTTGTTCAACATGTACTGAACATCTGCACCTCAATGGCAAAGATGCAGAAAAAACTACCAATACAAAGTGAAGATATTGTTGACTCTTTGAAGAAAGTGATGAAAGCTGTGTATGAATATTTACAAGACAATGGAATTTCAGATGCAATGAAGGAAAAACTGACTGCCACCTGCACTATATATTTACCAGAAAAACAAATCTTTGTAGCTGCAGATAAAGTAGTTACACGCCTCAGCGTGGATGAAGTTATTGATGGTTATGTCTACTCAGGTCCACTAAGTTTTGGTGAGTTTTTCCCTGTGTTTGAAGCACTAGGAGCGGCAAAAACTGCCTCAGCAAACACATTTGCTTGTGCATTGCAGAAACTACAAGGTCAAGTGGGCAACAAGGAGTTGAATCCAAATGAATTACTTGTTGTCAAAACTGCACTGAATTTGTTATTCAAGAAGTATCTTCGTAATAACACTGGTACAAGTCTTGATCTCTGTTCACTGTTTCTACCAAATTGTGACAACATCATGACTCTGTCAACAAAACTAGTATTTTCTGACAACAGTTCATTGAGGCAAAGGGTGAAAAAGTTGAAACCTAACTTCTTTTTAGGATTCAGAAAGTTGGAGATTGATGTAATAAATCCTTTGCACACCATTTTGCTCCTTCCACCAGAACACAGACCCACAATACTGAGTAAGGTCATGAAGGAACAACTGACAGATACATGTATTGGATCAGCATGTAAAGGTAGCATTTCATCCAAGATTCTGACTGTGATCCAGACACCTGAATTCATATCAGGACTTGTACGACTTGTCAACCATGAGAAAATCACGAAAGAATTAAGACCACTAGAAAGAGCAGACTGTGAGAAACTTGAACATAATTTGTCGAATATTGAGCTCTTTGAAGTTGAGTGTCTGGAAACTTGCATTATCTATGATGGAAATATTGTTGAAGGAAGTGAATCTACCCAGACATGTGTAACTGTTGAGGAACAACAATCACTGTCCATATACATTTCTACAGATGCTATGACTATAGATGAAGATTCTGTGTATTCCCGTTTGTCCTTTGCCATCAATGCACTAACAGGGTACCATCTTGGACAAAGCTGTGCAATTCTTATGAAACTGTTAAAATGTGAGCCACAAGTGATACATGGAATACTAGATATGTTCAAAATCACTGCTTTTGATTATTCCTCTAGTCAGATGTGCAGAACTGTATTCCCACCACCAGGTACAATCATCCCTGAGAAGTTTCACTTCATGTTAGACAACAGTTTTTCCTATTTCAAGGAAGGAGAGTATGCAGGTTATGAAGTGTATGATCCTCTGATTGATGATGAAGGTGATGACCTCACTGGGGAGATGGAAGCTGGAGATGTCTTCATAGTGTATGTGATTATAAAGAAAGTTGTGACATTGGGAGAAACTCCTCTCCAAGCCAGATACATTATTGAAGGAAAAGATGGGGCTGAAAAGGAGGTTTGTGCCACTCAGCTTTACAAGTTTTTCAGAGATACAGAAGATGGGATGATAGAAATAAGCATTGTATCACCAGACTCACCTCTTGAAGTTCCACTAGCCTTGGAGGATGTTTTGAGAGAGATTCGAAACACTTTGAAGGAAGCCTGGGCTATGCTTGGTGAGAGGGATAGGAACAGGGTGAAGAAACGTTTGTATTTCAAGTGGCATCCTGACAAAAATCCAGACCGAAGTGATTTCTGCAATGAAGTCTGCAAGTATATTGGTATATACATTGAAAGACTGGAGAAGGGACTAACCATTGATGATATTCAAGATGAAACTGATGGAGGCAGTTCAACAGATTATGCATGGTTCCACCAGTTTAATGACAGAACTTCAAGACACAGATCATATCAGAGGGAGTATCAACACTCTCACCATCACTTCAGGGGAGGCAGCTATGGATCTGGATATGGATCTGGCTCCTACCACCAGTCTAAAGGAAATCCTGATCTGTCAGAAGCGAGGAGGTGGCTGCGTCAAGCCAGGGCAGATCTGGATGCTGGTAGAGAAGTCTTGGGTCTGTCAAGGGCGTACAACTGGATCTGTTTTATGGGTCAACAGGTAAGTTATAGATTGTTAAGATAGTGATTCAATCTCATTGATCTTTCTGTGTGAAAATAGGTACCCAGCCGCCAAGGTCCCCCACAAGATATTGGCTGCTGAGTCTCAGTGACTTGGTCAGTTGTTCGTCCTCATCCCCTGATAACATGATCACGCCTCATGGTATGGAAGCTTGATCACACCCTCATGGTATGGAAGCTTGATCATGTCCTCATGGTATGGAAGCTTGATCACGCCCTCATGGTATGGAAGCTTGATCATGTCCTCATGGTATGGAAGCTTGATCACACCTCATGGTATGGAAGCTTGATCACACCCTCATGGTATGGAAGCTTGATCACACCCTCATGGTATGGAAGCTTGATCACACCCTCATGGTATGGAAGCTTGATCACACCTCATGGTATGGAAGCTTGATCACACCTCATGGTATGGAAGCTTGATCACACCTCATGGTATGGAAGCTTGATCATGTCCTCATGGTATGGAAGCTTGATCACACCTCATGGTATGGAAGCTTGATCACACCCTCATGGTATGGAAGCTTGATCACACCTCATGGTATGGAAGCTTGATCACACCCTCATGGTATGGAAGCTTGATCACACCCTCATGGTATGGAAGCTTGATCACACCTCATGGTATGGAAGCTTGATCACACCCACACCTCATGGTATGGAAGCTTGATCACACCTCATGGTATGGAAGCTTGATCACACTCATGGTATGGAAGCTTGATCACACCTCATGGTATGGAAGCTTGATCACACCTCATGGTATGGAAGCTTGATCACACCCTCATGGTATGGAAGCTTGATCACACCCTCATGGTATGGAAGCTTGATCACACCTCATGGTATGGAAGCTTGATCACACCCTCATGCTTGATCACACCTCATGGTATGGAAGCTTGATCACACCTCATGGTATGGAAGCTTGCTTGATCACACCCTCATGGTATGGAAGCTTGATCACACCTCATGGTATGGAAGCTTGATCACACCCTCATGGTATGGAAGCTTGATCACACCCTCATGGTATGGAAGCTTGATCACACCCTCATGGTATGGAAGCTTGATCACACCTCATGGTATGGAAGCTTGATCACACCCTCATGGTATGGAAGCTTGATCACACCCTCATGGTATGGAAGCTTGATCACACCCTCATGGTATGGAAGCTTGATCACACCCTCATGGTATGGGTAGCTTGATCACACCTCATGGTATGGAAGCTTGATCACACCCTCATGGTATGGAAGCTTGATCACACCCTCATGGTATGGAAGCTTGATCACACCTCATGGTATGGAAGCTTGATCACACCTCATGGTATGGAAGCTTGATCACACCTCATGGTATGGAAGCTTGATCACACCCTCATGGTATGGTATGCTTGATCACACCTCATGGTATGTGGAAGCTCATGGTATGGAAGCTTGATCACACCCTCATGGTATGGAAGCTTGATCACACCTCATGGTATGGTATGGATCACACCCTCCTCATGGTATGGAAGCTTGATCACACCCTCATGGTATGGTATGGAAGCTTGATCACACCCTCATGGTATGGAAGCTTGATCACACCCACATGGTATGGAAGCTTGATCACACCCTCATGGTATGGAAGCTTGATCACACCTCATGGTATGGAAGCTTGATCACACCCTCATGGTATGGAAGCTTGATCACACCTCATGGTATGGAAGCTTGATCACACCTCATGGTATGGAAGCTTGATCACACCCTCATGGTATGGAAGCTTGATCACACCCTCATGGTATGGAAGCTTGATCACACCTCATGGTATGGAAGCTTGATCACACCTCATGGTATGGAAGCTTGATCACACCCCTCACCTCATGGTATGGAAGCTTGATCACACCTCATGGTATGGAAGCTTGATCACACTTGGATTGATCACACCTCATGGTATGGAAGCTTGATGATGGTATGGAAGCTTGATCACACCCTCATGGTATGGGTATGGAAGCTTGATCACACCCTCATGGTATGGAAGCTTGATCACACCCTCATGGTATGGAAGCTTGATCACACCTCATGGTATGGAAGCTTGATCACACCCTCATGGTATGGAAGCTTGATCATGGTATGGAAGCTTGATCACACCTCATCACACCCTCATGGTATGGAAGCTTGATCACACCTCATGGTATGGAAGCTTGATCCATGGTATGGAAGCTTGATCACACCCTCATGGTATGGAAGCTTGATCACACCTCATGGTATGGAAGCTTGATCACACCTCATGGTATGGAAGCTTGATCACACCCTCATGGTATGGAAGCTTGATCACACCTCATGGTATGGAAGCTTGATCACACCTCATGGTATGGAAGCTTGATCACACCCTCATGGTATGGAAGCTTGATCACACCCTCATGGTATGGAAGCTTGATCACACCCTCATGGTATGGAAGCTTGATCACAACATCCATGTGTTGTTTGCCTTGTCCAGAGTTAATTATAGCTGGGATGTTTGTAGGTGAGGCTTTAACCAGTAATGAATCAGTTAAAGTGTAGATGGAGTCCTTGGCCACTCTTGACAAACAGATGGACGCACTTGTATATATTCTGTTGGAAATAATATAAATGACAGTCTGTACCTCTTTGTGATCTCCACATTCAGTGTTATTATTTTTCATACCTGGTATGTAATCCTAATGGGTTCGTGCATTTCTACACCTAAGATGATTTGACAGCTACATCAGTTCATTTTTATTTCACAAATTCTATACTCAGAGGCAAAAGTTATTGTAACATGGCATATTTTCATTGGTTATCTTATGAATAATTTGGGGGATTTAAACCAGTGCAAGAATGTTTGAAAATGGTATGCATGGTACCTCACAATGTGATGTAGCTGATCAATTTAAGATCCACAGAAACACCATGTAGCACTTATGGTGGTGATGTCATCAAAACGATCAAGTTATAGATGATCGCTGTATTGGCCTCCCACTAGTAGCAACCCCATGTCAAGACCAATGCACCTCCAACACAGGTTCCAGCACAGACCACAGGTGGGAACAGAGGTGTATCAGTGACAACACAACATCTATGTGTCTATGGCAGTCTGACAGTCAATTCTAACACCAGAACATGTCTCTCCTCTTCAACCCTCGCTTCATTGTCGAAACAATATCCAAATACATCACAAAGATAAATGCACTTCACGGTTTTGAATTCTATCGAATATTCCCTTTACTATGATATCATCCACTCATTGTTGGGAGGGCAAAATTAATTAACTCTACATACATCGCATATATCACCATTTTTGACACATTTCTAAATCACCATTTGCAGAGTTTTGAGTAATTTTTAATCTAAATCTCAATTTTTTAAACTAGAATTTGCAAATTTCAGATTTCAGACCTACTCGCTGCATACACTTGCTCATAAGTTTTAGAACATGCATGGGAAGAGTATTGTAGCAAAAACTAAGGAAACAGAGTGATGTAATCCAATGATTTGCTACATTGAGCACAATATATTATAGTTTGGCATAAGATTTCAGCACTTATATGGAGCTTTCAATTTCAATGTGACAAAAATGAGTGAACTGGTACAAAAATTCTGTTTTGTTTCACACAAGAAAAAAAGTGTTTTGATCGTGTACACTTCCCCTTTAATCATCAAACAATTCTGAATATGGTGAGTTTTGCAATATCATTGCATGATAATCTTTTGCATAACACTTTCAAACCCATTTACACCTTGTTCATCTGCAGGCTGCTGAAAAGGCCATCAAGTCCATGCTATACAATAAAGACTCCAGGCAAGCTGATGTGATGAGAACCCATGATTTATCCAGCCTATCTAGTGGTTTAGGTAACCCTTCCCTGACATCCCTGGCCTCCCAACTACAGAATGTTATACAGGACTTCAACCGCCTGCGCTACCCGGACAGACTTGCCTACCCCAGGATCCCAGCTGATGTATACACACAGGCTGATGCCTCACAAGCATGTGAGCTGGCTGGCAAGATTGTGTGTCTGGTGGAACAGTCTCTACACTAAGGTGAGCATTGGAAGCTGTAAATCTCAGTGTCATCTCTCTGTCAGTTTTATAACCTGGAAGACCCACAAATACACACACAGATGTCGTTGATGACCATGTATTATACAAATTGTTCTACCATCATGATCTGAGACATGCAAGGTCAGGTGTAAGGTTGTCTATTTATAGTGCAAGTGATGTACCCTTGAGCATTAGTCAAGCTGCATCGACTTTATTACATGTTATTGTATATGCTTTAAACCATTGTAACCAACTTGTAACCAGAGCATATTTACCTCTGTAGAACAAACTTAACTGAAATGAACTTTCACATGCAATCTGAGAGGATACACAACACAGAGTATCAACAATGAAAGTAGGTAAGGTCACCATGACTATGGCACTATTTTGGTTGTCATGCAGTTTTAAAAAGAAAAGGATTGATATGATTTTATGAACCACCACAAGCATATACATCAGTGCCTGGTGTAGCCACCCTTTGCCTGGATAACATCTGCCTGTCTCCTCCTCCTCATACTGTCTCAGCCACAGAGTCCTTGCCATTCCCCATGGAGTGTCTGCATCAGTTACTGCCGATTTGGAACAGGGGGATCTCCAGCTCAAACCTCTCACTGAGAAACTAGTATGTTATGGCACCCTCTCACTGAGACACTGGTTGTATGTTATGGCACCCTCTCACTGAGACACTAGATGCATGTTATGGCACCCTGAGACTCACTGAAACACAGGCTGTATGTTATGGCACCTTCTCACTGAGACACTGGATGTATGTTATGGCACCTTCTCACTGAGACACTGGTTGTATGTTACAGCACCCTCTCACTGAAACACTGGTTGTATGTTATAGCACCTTCTGACTGAGACACTGGATGTATGTTATGGCACCCTCTCACTGAGACACTGGTTGTATGTTACAGCACCCTCTCACTGAAACACTGGATGTATGTTACAGCACCCTCTCACTCTCAGACACTGGATGTATGTTACAGCACCCTCTCACTGAAACCATGGATGTATGTTATGGCACCCTCTCACTGAGAAACATGTATGTTACAGCACCCTCTCACTGAGACACTGGTTGTATGTTATGGCAACCTCTCACTGAGAAACGGGTTGTTTTCACAGCACCCTCTCACTGAGAAACATGGTTGTATGTTACAGCACCCTCTCACTGAGACACAGGTTGTATGTTACAGCACCCTCTCACTGGACACTGGTTGTATGTTACAGCAACCTCTCACTGAGACACAGGTTGTATGTTACATGGCACCCTCTCACTGAGACACAGGTTGTATGTTACAGCACCTTCTCACTGAGACACTGGTTGTATGTTATGGCACCCTCTCACTGAGACACTGGTTGTATGTTATGGCAACCTCTCACTGAGACACTGGATGTATGTTACAGCACCCTCTCACTGAGACACTGGATGTATGTTCTGGCACCCTCTCACTGAGACACATGTTGTATGTTATGGCACCCTCTCACTGAGACACAGGTTGTATGCTACAGCACCCTCTCACTGAGACACTGGATGTATGTTCTGGCACCCTCTCACTGAGACACATGTTGTATGTTATGGCACCCTCTCACTGAGACACAGGTTGTATGCTACAGCACCCTCTGTCTGAGACACTGGTTGTATGTTATGGCACCTTCTCACTGAGACACTGGATGTATGTTATGGCACCCTCTCACTGAAACACTGGATGTATGTTACAGCACCCTCTCACTGAGACACAGGATGTATGTTATAGCACCCTCTCACTGAGACTCAGGATGTATGTTATGGCACCCTCTCACTGAGACACTGGTTGCATGTTATGGCAACCTCTCACTAAGAAACAGGTTGTATGTTACAGCACCCTCTCACTGAGAAACATGTTGTATGTTACAGCACCCTCTCAGTGAGACACAGGATGTATGTTATGGCACCCTCTCACTGAGACACTGGTTGTATGTTATGGCACCCTCTCACTGAGACACACAGGTTGTATGTTACAGCACCCTCTCACTGAGACACTGGTTGTATGTTACAGCACCCTCTCACTGAGACACTGGTTGTATGTTATGGCACCCTCTCACTGAAACACTGGTTGTATGTTACAGCACCCTCTCACTGAGACACAGGTTGTATGTTACAGCACCCTCTCACTGAGACACTGGTTGTATGTTACAGCACCCTCTCACTGAGACACTGGTTGTATGTTATGGCACCCTCTCACTGAGACACTGGTTGTATGTTACAGCACCCTCTCACTGAGACACTGGTTGTATGTTACAGCACCCTCTCACTGAGACACAGGTTGTATGTTACAGCACCCTCTCACTGAGACACAGGTTGTATGTTACAGCACCCTCTCACTGAGACACAGGTTGTATGTTACAGCACCCTCTCACTGAGACACTGGTTGTATGTTACAGCACCCTCTCACTGAAACACTGGTTGTATGTTACAGCACCCTCTCACTGAAACACTGGTTGTATGTTACAGCACCCTCTCACTGAGACACAGGTTGTATGTTACAGCACCCTCTCACTGAGACACTGGATGCATGTTACAGCACCCTCTCACTGAAACACTGGTTGTATGTTACAGCACCCTCTCACTGAAACACTGGTTGTATGTTACAGCACCCTCTCACTGAGACACAGGTTGTATGTTACAGCACCCTCTCACTGAGACACTGGGTTGTATGTTACAGCACCCTCTCACTGAGACACTGGTTGTATGTTATGGCAACCTCTCACTAAGAAACAGGTTGTATGTTACAGCACCCTCTCACTGAGACACAGGATGTGTGTTACAGCACCTTCTCACTGCAACACTGGTTGTATGTTATGGCACCCTCTCACTGAGACACATGTTGTATGTTATGGCAACCTCTCACTGAGACACTGGTTGTATGTTACAGCACCCTCTCACTGAGACACTGGTTGTATGTTACAGCACCCTCTCACTGAAACACTGGATGTATGTTACAGCACCCTCTCACTCAGACACTGGATGTATGTTACAGCACCCTCTCACTGAAACCATGGATGTATGTTATGGCACCCTCTCACTGAGAAACATGTATGTTACAGCACCCTCTCACTGAGACACTGGTTGTATGTTATGGCAACCTCTCACTGAGAAACAGGTTGTTTTCACAGCACCCTCTCACTGAGAAACATGTATGTTACAGCACCCTCTCACTGAGAAACATGTATGTTACAGCACCCTCTCACTGAGACACTGGTTGTATGTTACAGCAACCTCTCACTAAGAAACAGGTTGTATGTTACATCACCCTCTCACTGAGACACAGGATGTGTGTTACAGCACCTTCTCACTGCGACACTGGTTGTATGTTATGGCACCCTCTCACTGAGACACATGTCGTATGTTATGGCAACCTCTCACTGAGACACTGGTTGTATGTTACAGCACCCTCTCACTGAGACACTGGTTGTATGTTATGGCACCTTCTCACTGAGACACTGGATGTATGTTACAGCACCCTCTCACTGAAACACAGGATGTATGTTACAGCACCCTCTCACTGAGACACTGGATGTATGTTCTGGCACCCTCTCACTGAGACACATGTTGTATGTTATGGCACCCTCTCACTGAGACACAGGTTGTATGCTACAGCACCCTCTCACTGAGACACTGGATGTATGTTCTGGCACCCTCTCACTGAGACACATGTTGTATGTTATGGCACCCTCTCACTGAGACACAGGTTGTATGCTACAGCACCCTCTGTCTGAGACACTGGTTGTATGTTATGGCACCTTCTCACTGAGACACTGGATTGTATGTTATGGCACCCTCTCACTGAGACACTGGTTGTATGTTACAGCACCCTCTCACTGAGACACAGGTTGTATGTTACAGCACCCTCTCACTGAGACACACCCTCTCACTGGATGTATGTTACAGCACCCTCTCACTGAGACACAGGTTGTATGTTACAGCACCCTCTCACTGAGACACTGGTTGTATGTTATGGCACCCTCTCACTGAGACACTGGTTGTATGTTATGGCACCCTCTCACTGAGACACTGGATTGTATGTTATGGCACCCTCTCACTGAAAACACTGGTTGTATGTTACAGCACCCTCCTCACTGAGACACAGGATGTATGTTACAGCACCCTCTCACTGAGACACAGGATGTATGTTACAGCACCCTCTCACTGAGACACAGGTTGTATGTTATGGCACCCTCTCACTGAGACACAGGTTGTATGTTACAGCACCCTCTCACTGAGACACTGGTTGTATGTTATGGCACCCTCTCACTGAGACACTGGTTGTATGTTATGGCACCCTCTCACTGAAACACTGGTTGTATGTTACAGCACCCTCTCACTGAGACACAGGATGTATGTTACAGCACCCTCTCACTGAGACACAGGATGTATGTTATGGCACCCTCTCACTGAGACACTGGTTGTATGTTATGGCACCCTCTCACTGAGACACAGGTTGTATGTTACAGCACCCTCTCACTGAGACACTGGTTGTATGTTACAGCACCCTCTCACTGAGACACAGGATGTATGTTATGGCACAATCTCACTGAGACACAGCTTGTATGTTATGGCAACCTCTCACTAAGAAACAGGTTGTATGTTACAGCACCCTCTCACTGAGACACTGGTTGTATGTTACAGCACCCTCTCACTGAGACACTGGTTGTATGTTACAGCACCCTCTCACTGAGACACTGGTTGTATGTTACAGCACCCTCTCACTGAGACACTGGTTGTATGTTACAGCACCCTCTCACTGAGACACTGGTTGTATGTTATGGCACCCTCTCACTGAGACACTGGTTGTATGTTACAGCACCCTCTCACTGAAACACTGGTTGTATGTTACAGCACCCTCTCACTGAGACACTGGTTGTATGTTATGGCACCCTCTCACTGAGACACAGGTTGTATGTTACAGCACCCTCTCACTGAGACACAGGTTGTATGTTACAGCACCCTCTCACTGAGACACTGGTTGTATGTTACAGCACCCTCTCACTGAGACACAGGTTGTATGTTATGGCACCCTCTCACTGAGACACTGGTTGTATGTTACAGCACCCTCTCACTGAGACACTGGTTGTATGTTATGGCACCTTCTCACTGAGACACTGGTTGTATGTTACAGCACCCTCTCACTGAGACACTGGTTGTATGTTACAGCACCCTCTCACTGAGACACTGGTTGTATGTTACAGCACCCTCTCACTGAGACACGGGTTGTATGTTACAGCACCCTCTCTCTGAGACACTGGTTGTATGTTACAGCACCCTCTCACTGAAACACTGGTTGTATGTTACAGCACCCTCTCACTGAGACACAGGTTGTATGTTACAGCACCCTCTCACTGAGACACAGGTTGTATGTTACAGCACCCTCTCACTGAGACACTGGATGTATGTTACAGCACCCTCTCACTGAGACACTGGTTGTATGTTACAGCACCCTCTCACTGAGACACAGGTTGTATGTTACAGCACCCTCTCACTGAGACACTGGTTGTATGTTACAGCACCCTCTCACTGAGACACAGGTTGTATGTTACAGCACCCTCTCACTGAGACACTGGATGTATGTTACAGCACCCTCTCACTGAAACACTGGTTGTATGTTACAGCACCCTCTCACTGAAACACTGGTTGTATGTTACAGCACCCTCTCACTGAGACACAGGTTGTATGTTACAGCACCCTCTCACTGAAACACGGGTTGTATGTTACAGCACCCTCTCACTGAAACACTGGTTGTATGTTACAGCACCCTCTCACTGAGACACAGGTTGTATGTTACAGCACCCTCTCACTGAGGCACAGGTTGTATGTTTCAGCACCCTCTCACTGAAACACTGGATGTATGTTATGGCACCCTCTCACTGAGACACAGGTTGTATGTAATAGCACTGAGACACTTGTGCTTTTTGTTCACAGGTAGAATCTGTTCATACTCTGATTGTCCAGGACTCATAGACAGCAGAACAGCATGGACCATGTGCATAGTGGCAGTTTCCTTCAGGCGGCAGGACACCTTGCAGTCAGTCTTCATACAGCCAACTGTCATGACATTGTCATTCACACACTGAAGTTAGATGTTTTGTACATATTGCTATAAGACAAATCAACTCTCCCTCAACCATTTCAAAAAAATTGTTTAATCATTTTTTGTATTTGAAGAGTGCGAAGATATAGTTGTTTTTACTCATTTCCCAGAAGAGATACATTGTCTTGGTATTTGTTTTTTATATTATTATCATTCCTGTTTGTACATTCTTTGTTCAGATGTAAATAACAACGTATTGATTCTATTTTATCTATTCTTCAAACTTGAGACAGTAATTATGTAAAGTGGATTGTTCTTGTTTTCTGGAAGTGTGAACATGCAGTAGTTTACTTGAGAATAACACAGTGCTCTTGACAATATTATACATTATAGACTGGTGATGAGGTCAGTACCTGTTTTTATGGACCCATCAATATTGCTTTTCGCGGGTCCATAAAAACAGGTATTGACCGAATTCGCCAGTCTATAATTGTTTTAGTATGTAATTACCGAGAAAAATTCAAAACTTGTCCATTTAGCCAAGAAAGGAATTATTTTCACTACAAACCAATAACGTTATGTCAACAATACTCATAGTAACGTTGGTCACTATGAGTTTTGGTCGGACCCGGGTTGGAGTCAATATGCTTTTCTGTTGACGGTCACGTGACCGCCTCTAGACCAATCAGGTAGCCGGAAAAATATGCTTGCATAATAAACCACTTTAGCATAAATAGTTGTTATATAGACAATGTCATATATCACATTACTGAAATATAGATGGGAATGTTTCATGTGTACACTTCTGCACTGGGTGTGTATATGGAGGAACTCACCAAAAATATATTGTTGTTTTCCTGTAGAATGTTGAAACCTCTCTAGTTCTTATGTAATGATGACTTGTGAATATTGCCTTTTGGGATGAAGAAAAGAGAAATGTCTCTTGTTCTTATGTTATGATTACTTGTGAGTATTTTCTTTTGCCTTTTTGGGTGAAGAATGGTAAAATCTTTCTACTTCTTTGTGTTTTGTTATGACTTGTAAATATTGCCCTTTGGAATGAAGAACAGTGAAACCTCTCTACTTCTAGTGTTATGGCTTGTGGATATTGCCTTTTTGGATGTAGGATGGTTAAAACTTCTCTTGTTCTTGTGTTATAATGACATGTAAATATTGACTTTTGGGATGTAGGATGGTTAAAACTTCTCTTGTTCTTGTGTTATAATGACATGTGAATATTGCCTTTTGGGATGTAAGATGGTAAAATGTGCCTAGTTCTTGTGTTATAATGACATGTGAATATTGCCTTTTGGGATGCAGGATGGTTAAAACCTCTCTTGTTCTTGTGTTAAAATGTCATGTGAATATTGCCTTTTGGGATGTAGGATGGTAAAATGTGCCTAGTTCTTGTGTTATAATGACATGTGAATATTGCCTTTTGGGATGTAAGATGGTAAAATGTGCCTAGTTCTTGTGTTATAATGACATGTGAATATTGCCTTTTGGGATGTAGGATGGTTAAAACTTCTCTTGTTCTTGTGTTATAATGACATGTGAATATTGCCTTTTGGGATGTAAGATGGTTAAAACCTCTCTTGTTCTTGTGTTATAATGACATGTGAATATTGCCTTTTGGGATGTAGGATGGTTAAAACTTCTCTTGTTATTGTGTTATAATGACATGTGAATATTGACTTTTGGGATGTAAGATGGTTAAAACTTCTCTTGTTCTTGTGTTATAATGACATGTGAATATTGCCTTTTGGGATGTAGGATGGTTAAAACTTCTCTTGTTCTTATGTTATAATGACATGTGAATATTGCCTTTTGGGATGTAAGATGGTTAAAACTTCTCTTGTTATTGTGTTATAATGACATGTGAATATTGACTTTTGGGATGTAAGATGGTTAAAACTTCTCTTGTTCTTGTGTTATAATGACATGTGAATATTGACTTTTGGGATGTAGGATGGTTAAAACCTCTCTTGTTCTTGTGTTATAATGACATGTGAATATTGACTTTTGGGATGTAGGATGGTTAAAACTTCTCTTGTTATTGTGTAATAATGACATGTGAATATTGCCTTTTGGGATGTAAGATGGTTAAAACTTCTCTTGTTCTTGTGTTATAATGACATGTGAATATTGCCTTTTGGGATTTAGGATGGTAAAATGTGCCTAGTTCTTGTGTTATAATGACATGTGAATATTGACTTTTGGGATGTAAGATGGTTAAAACTTCTCTTGTTCTTGTGTTATAATGTCATGTGAATATTGCCTTTTGGGATGTAGGATGGTAAAATGTGCCTAGTTCTTGTGTTATAATGACATGTGAATATTGCCTTTTGGGATGTAAGATGGTAAAATGTGCCTAGTTCTTGTGTTATAATGACATGTGAATATTGCCTTTTGGGATGTAGGATGGTTAAAACTTCTCTTGTTCTTGTGTTATAATGACATGTGAATATTGCCTTTTGGGATGAAGAATAGCAAAACATCTCTAATTCTTGTGTTATGATGACTTGTGAATATTGCCCTTTGGGATGTAGGATGATTAAAATCTCTCTAGTTCTTGTGTTATAATGACATGTGAATATTGACTTTTAGGATGTAGGATGGTTAAAACCTCTCTTGTTCTTGTGTTATAATGACATGTGAATATTGCCTATTTGGATGTAGGATGGTTAAAACCTCTCTTGTTATTGTGTTATAATGACATGTGAATATTGACTTTGGGGCTGTAGGATAGTAAAATGTGCCTTGTTCTTGTGTTATACTGACTTGTAATTATTGCCTTTTGGGATGTAGTATGGTTAAAACCTCTCTTGTTCTTGTGTTATAATGACATGTGAATATTGACTTTTGGGATGTAGGATGGTTAAAACTTCTCTTGTTATTGTGTAATAATGACATGTGAATATTGCCTTTTGGGATGTAAGATGGTTAAAACTTCTCTTGTTCTTGTGTTATAATGACATGTGAATATTGCCTTTTGGGATTTAGGATGGTAAAATGTGCCTAGTTCTTGTGTTATAATGACGTGTGAATATTGACTTTTGGGATGTAAGATGGTTAAAACTTCTCTTGTTCTTGTGTTATAATGTCATGTGAATATTGCCTTTTGGGATGTAGGATGGTAAAATGTGCCTAGTTCTTGTGTTATAATGACATGTGAATATTGCCTTTTGGGATGTAGGATGGTTAAAACTTCTCTTGTTCTTGTGTTATAATGACATGTGAATATTGCCTTTTGGGATGAAGAATAGTTAAAACATCTCTAATTCTTGTGTTATGATGACTTGTGAATATTGCCCTTTGGGATGTAGGATGATTAAAATCTCTCTAGTTCTTGTGTTATAATGACATGTGAATATTGACTTTTAGGATGTAGGATGGTTAAAACCTCTCTTGTTCTTGTGTTATAATGACATGTGAATATTGCCTATTTGGATGTAGGATGGTTAAAACCTCTCTTGTTATTGTGTTATAATGACATGTGAATATTGACTTTGGGGCTGTAGGATAGTAAAATGTGCCTTGTTCTTGTGTTATACTGACTTGTAATTATTGCCTTTTGGGATGTAGTATGGTTAAAACCTCTCTTGTTCTTGTGTTATAATGACATGTGAATATTGACTTTTGGATGTAGGATGGTTAAAACCTCTCTTGTTCTTGTGTTATAATGACTTGTGAATATTGCCTTTTGGGATGTAGGATGGTTAAAACCTCTCTTGTTCTTGTGTTATAATGACATGTGAATATTGACCTTTTGGATGTAGGATGGTTAAAACCTCTTTTGTTATTGTGTTATAATGACATGTGAATATTGACTTTTGGGCTGTAGGATAGTAAAATCTGCCTAGTTCTTGTGTTATAAAGTCTTGTAATTATTGCCTATGCGATGAAGAATAGTGAAATCTCTCTAGTTTTATGTTATAAATCACTTCTGAATACTGCCTTTTTCGATGAAAAATAGTGAAACCTCTCTAGTTCTTTTGTTATGATGACTTGTGAATATTGCCCTTTGGGATGAAGAAACATGAAACCTCTCTAGTCCTTTTGTTATGATGACTTGTGAATATTGCCTTTTGGGATGAAAAATAGTGAAACCTCTTTAGTTCTTTTGTTATGATGACTTGTGAATATTGCCCTTTGGGATGAAGAATAGTAAAGCCTCTCTAGTTCTTATGTTATGATTATTTGTAAAACATGTTTTGCCTCTTGGGGTGAAGAATGGTAAAATCTTTCAACTTTTTGTGTTCTGTGATGATTTGTAAATATTGCCTTTTGGGGTGAAGAATGGTAAAACCGTTCTAGTTCTTGTGCTATAATGACTTGTGAATATTGCCTTTTGGGATGTAGAATGGTAAAACCGTTCTAGTTCTTGTGCTATAATGACTTGTGAATATTAACTTTTGGGATGAAGAATAGCGAAACATCTCTAATTCTTGTGTTATAATGACTTGTAGATATTAACTTTTGGGATGAAAAATAGTGAAACCTCTCTAGTCCTTTTGTTATGATGACTTGTAGATATTGCCTTTTGGGATGAAAAATAGTGAAACCTCTTTAGTTCTTTTGTTATGATGACTTGTGAATATTGCCCTTTGGGATGAAGAATAGTAAAGGCTCTCTAGTTCTTATGTTATAATTATTTGTAAAAAATGTTTTGCCTCTTAGGGTGAAGAATGGTAAAATCTTTCAACTTTTTGTGTTCTGTGATGATTTGTAAATATTGCCTTTTGGGGTGAAGAATGGTAAAACCGTTCTAGTTCTTGTGCTATAATGACTTGTAAATATTGCCTTTTGGGATGAAGAATAGTGAAACATCTCTAATTCTTGTGTTATGATGACTTGTGAATGTTGCCTTTTGGGATGAAGAATAGTGAAACATCTCTAATTCTTGTGTTATGATGACTTGTAAATATTGCCTTTTGGGATGAAGAATAGTGAAACATCTCTAATTCTTGTGTTATGATGACTTGTGAATATTGCCTTTTGGGATGAAGAATAGTGAAACTTCTCTAGTTCTTGTGTTATAATGACTTGTGAATATTGTCTTTTAGGATGAAGAATAGTGAAGCCTCTTGAGTTCTTGTGTTATAAAGACTTGATAATTTTGTCTTTGAATGGTAAAACTCGTCTTTATTGCCTACTTGGATTTATGTTAAAATGACTTGAAAATGTAGCGTATTCGGGTATATGATGGTAAAACCTATAGAGTTCTTTTGTTGTATTAGCTTGTTAGCATGGCATCATTGGGTTTATGTCTTAATGCCATCATAGATTGAGTATCATGAAAATTGTTAGTTTAAATGTTGGTTTATAAGAAATTCTCTGAACACAAGTCACAATGGCACTATTATATGTGTGTTTGTTGATGTGTAACCTTCATGCTGACAACCTTTTTCCAGTTGATGGAACAGACTGCTATCTATATATGAGGAGACTTTACGCGTGTTTCCCAGTTCATTCCTATACAAGTATTGCAAGTCAATACTCACTTATAATCTACACTGATTCATTAACATAGGCGAATCCAGAGGGGGGATGCATGGGGTGCGCACCTCCCCTTTGGTCCTGAAAG